TGCAACGGTATGCATGCCTGTTCGTGATATACATCCCTCTCCCCTACTGAAGTTGGCTACCATCTTCTCAATTAGTGTTGTAGCATTCTCGATAGTCAAGGAGAGGAACGTGCCTCCAGCAACGGCATCGATGTGCCCATTAGACAGGGGCGTGAGCCCTTCGTAGAAATTTTGAAGCACGAAACAATCTTCCATCCCGTCGTGGGGGCAGGCCCGGATGTACTCCTGGAGCCTCTCTCTCTCTCTCTCTCTCTCTCTCTCTCTCTCTCTCTCTCTCTCTCTCTCTCTCTCTCTCTCTCTCTCTCTCTCTCTCTCTCTCTCTCTCTCTCTCTCTCTCTCTCTCTCTCTAGAAACCTAAAAACAACAAAAGCCTCTACCCGAAAGGGAGGTGTTTACTCTCTGCCAAAAGCCATCGTTTTCTCTGAAATCTGCATGTGAAAGTTTGGTGAAGAAAGAGGAGAGATCTGTGTGATTGCTTTTAAAACGGTGCCGTTCCTTTTTCTCTTTTTTTTCTTCTTCTTGATTTCTCTGTTCTTCTGTGGCTGATGAGGTCACACTAACAACAACAATGCCCACTTGCCTCCTCTTTTTTTCACTCTCATCAATCTCTACTCCCTCTCTCATCTTTAATGGGGAACAAGTTCTCATCTTTAGTGTACAAGTTCCACAAATTTTGATACTTTAGCTTCTTCACTTGTAAACAGAGCTCCAAAGTTTCCATTTTTAACTTCTCCCCATTTGGGTTTTTTTCAATTTCACTAATTTGGTTTGATTTGGGAACTTCTTTCTTTGTAGTGGGTTGTTTCTGAGATTTGAGAACTCAAAAAGTTGTAATTTTTAGGGCTCGTTTGTGACAATTAAAGCTATTGCCATAGCTTGTTTAAACAAAATCACTTGGAATTTGGAAAGTTGGGGAAGATTTGGTTTCAAAATGAGATACAATTCGATTTGGTTCTTGTGCAAGATTGCGAGGAGGAAAGACACAAAGCTCTTCTTCTTCTTCTTCTGAAATAAATGACGACGACGACTACTACTACTACGACAAGGGTTTCTTCTTCTGCTTCAACTCGGAATCGAATTCTGAAAGATGCAAATGGAGACATCGGTGAGCATCTTCGTAACCACATCCATTTGACCAATTGTATTCACTTGAAGAACCATATGCATAAGCAGAGTCCGGTTTTAACTGACCGTGCCTTAATGAGAGACCTCATTGTTCTCCAAAGGTCACGCTCGCTTAGAGATCCTTCTGCGAGCCCTCCTGCTTGGAACACGCCTCCTTCGGTTGTTGATTTGCTTCCCAAGAAAGGAGATCATGTGGAAGGAGGGAGAAGATCTATTGATCATAAGAAGTCTGGTCGTAGGCTGTCTGCTTTGAGTGGTTCTTCACCTGTTGTTAATTTTGGGACGTCTAAAGTGACTCCTTCTGATGAAAGGTCGGGTCCGGTTAGTGTTGAAAGGGACAGTGGTAGGAGAGTTAAGAGAGAGGAATCTAGTAGAAAGAGTTATAGAGTTGGGGATGATTATCAAAATGTGAATGAGGTTGTTTCTCATGGTGTTGCCTCGGGTAATTCGGGATCAAAAGCTAGTAGGAGGCTTAGCAGGGTTAATGATGCTATTGTTAAGACACTATCTGATCAGCTAAATGAGGTTGTTGTGGGTGATAGTGATGATGTGGTTTCATCTAATGTTCGTCCACGGGTTAGGTATGGAGGTGGAGTTGGTGGTAGTAATACTCGGGGATGCACGGGTGGAATGAGTCGGCCTAAAAGACGGAAATTTAGAGGGACGAGGAGAGTTCGTGGTAAGAGTAGAGATACTGGTGGTGGTAAGAGTGAGATGTCTGTTGCTTCCAACACATTGCCTCAAGGTGAGAAGCATGAGGTAGAGAAAGAGGGATTTGGGGAACAGAACATGACTAAGGCTTGTGGGATTCCGTTTAATTGGTCGAGAATTCATCACCGAGGGAAAACTTTTCTCGATAAGGCGGGTAGAAGTTTGTCTTGTGGTATGTCTGATTCAAGAGGAAGAAAAGGTGAAACCAGTGCAAGAAATGGATCTGATATGATGATGATACAATCTGATGAAGAATCAAGCTCCTTTATCCACTCTGATGGTGAAGCGCTTCCCTTACTAGTTGATAGTGGAGAGAATGAAGGTTGGGTGCACGATTACTCAGGGGAGCTCGGGATTTTTGCAGACAATCTGCTCAAGAACGAAGAAGATTCTGACCTTGCTTCAGAAGGAAGGTCAGGGGAGAAAAAACACAAAAAGAAGAGCCATATAAATGCTCGGCATCGACATCAGCAACAGCATCAAAGTCTTACGGAAAAATATGCGCCTAAAACATTCCGGGATCTCCTGGGGCAGAATCTAGTGGTACAAGCTCTTTCTAATGCAGTTGCTAGACGAAAGCTTGGACTTTTGTATGTCTTTCATGGTCCAAATGGAACAGGAAAGACCTCTTGCGCTCGGATATTTGCAAGGGCTTTGAACTGTCATTCCATGGAACACCCAAAGCCTTGTGGCACTTGTAGTTCTTGTGTTTCACATGATATGGGTAAAAGCTGGAACATTCGGGAAGTGGGTCCTGTTGGGAACTATGATTTTGAGAACATCATGGATTTACTGGATGGTAATGTGATGGTTTCATCTCAGTCACCTCGGGTGTTCATATTTGATGATTGTGATACCTTGTCATCTGATTGTTGGAATGCATTGTCCAAAGTGGTAGATCGAGCAGCGCCACGTCGTGTAGTCTTTATCCTCGTGTGTTCGAGTCTTGATGTGTTGCCTCATGTGATCATATCGAGGTGCCAGAAATTCTTTTTCCCGAAACTAAAGGACGCAGATATAGTTTACTCGTTGCAATGGATTGCATCAAAAGAAGAGGTTGAAATAGATAAAGATGCATTGAAGCTTATTGCTTCGAGATCAGATGGTTCTTTAAGAGATGCTGAGATGACTCTTGAACAGCTGAGTTTGTTAGGACAGAGGATCTCTGTTTCCTTAGTTCAGGAACTGGTAAGCACTGCTCTGTCTCACCGATATAACAATTGAAAGCTGGAAACTTTTCTAATTGAATCTCTCTTTTATTTTTTTCAGGTTGGGCTTGTTTCGGATGAGAAATTAGTGGATCTTCTTGATTTAGCTTTATCTGCAGATACTGTAAATACTGTGAAGAATCTGAGAACTATAATGGAAACAAGTGTAGAACCATTGGCTTTAATGTCTCAGCTTGCAACGGTCATAACAGATATTCTTGCGGGTAGTTATGATTTCACTAAAGATCGGCATAAAAGAAAGTTTTTCCGGCGACAACCATGTGAGTTTCAACATTTCTAGCCTACCTACAACTGCAATAGTTTTGCTCGGTCTTTTGTTCTAATCCAAGTTTTGGTTTTGTCACCATTTATAGTACCTAAAGAAGATATGGAAAAACTGAGACAAGCCCTTAAGACATTATCCGAGGCAGAGAAACAGCTGAGAGTGTCAAACGATAAACTGACTTGGCTCACTGCCGCGTTGCTTCAATTGGCTCCTGATCAGAACTATCTGCTTCAACGTTCGTCCACTGCAGATACTAGCTTTAACCGTAGCCCATTACCATTAGAGAACAATGGAGGTAGAGAAAGCTCAGATCACCATCTGGATCCTTCTAGTGATCCAGCTGGTGGAAGAAGTTCTGGATTGGACAGAAGAAGAGGAGATAGTAGAAAAAACCGACCCTCTGTTGAAGAAATTTGGTTAGAGGTTATCGAGAAGCTTCGAGTTAACAGTTTGAGAGAGTTTCTTTATAAAGAAGGAAGAATTGTCTCTCTTAACCTTGGATCAGGTAATGCATTTAGTATTGACAAAGCTTAAATCTTAATTGTTGAAAGTTTACAAGCCAGTTTCGTTCTGGTGTGGTGGAAAGCTTGAAATCTTGATTAGAATTTATCTTTAATCTTTAATCTTTGATTAGATATGTTCGAAAACATTTTGAAGCTAAATTTTATTTTTCTGGTGTTGTGGCAGCTCCTACTGTGCATCTAATGTTCAGCTCGCCATTAACCAAATCTACAGCTGAGAAATTTCGTGGCCATATTATGCAAGCATTTGAGGCGGTTCTTGAGTCTCCGATCACGATAGAGATCAGATGCGAGACAAAGAAAGACCCAAGAAACAACGGGCATCATCATCATCATCACCCACCTGTGAAAGACAAAAGCCTGCCACAATCTTTAGCACTCATTGGCCATGATTACAAAATCGATGGAAGTGGACGAAGTGAGATAGTTGAAGTTACTGAATCTAATGGACAAAGACGAAAACAACAACAACAGAAGCAAGAGGCAGAGGAGAGGACAGAGCGAGTTGGTTCTTCTGCATTAGCCCGAGCTAGAAGAAAACATTTGGAAGCAAGCCAGAGTCAGAACCAGAGTCAAAGCATTGTGAGAGGTAAGGTCTCGTTGGCTCATGTGATCCAGCAAGCTGACGGATGCACACTACAAAATGGTTGGTCTAAACGCAAGGCCGTGTCTATAGCCGAGAAGCTAGAACAAGAGAATCTGTAAGAGTCTCTAAACACTCAATCAAACATCCCAAAGATAGATCAAGTAAAAAAATGTTGACTCTTTGTGTTCTCTTACAGGAGACTTGAACCAAGATCAAGAAGCTTGTTATGCTGGAAATCCTCAAGAGGCACACGTCGCAAGGTAACAACAAAACAACAAAACTCTCTCTTTATCTTGAGTAAAAATCAAAACGTTTTGGTTATTGGAAATTGAAAAGATAGAAACTTTGAAATTATAGGCGACGAGGTTGAAGGTGAGAACAAGAAGAGCAAGATCACATTCGTTATTGAAGCTCGTGTCGTGCGGAAAATGCCTGTCGACTAGATCTCCAACAAGATAAGAAAAAAAAAAGCTTTTGTACTTTGATCGATCATACGCATGCAGAATTTACTGCAATCATAATCAGTGTAGCTTCTTGGCAGTTTTATAATGTTTATGGATATGTTCTTACCACAAAAAAATAAATGGATTAGTTTTAACTGTTCTACCATTTGTTACGGTAAGCTTAAGATGGAAAACGAGATATCTTCAAGAATGTAGTAGCTTCAAGAACTGTGTTATGTAAACCACAAACACTAACGCATCAACAAGTGCGTTTACTTAATGAACAAAGCTACTGATCAAAAGTTGAGGTTGGTCTCTCACAAAATCAATCCATGCAAGTTAACTAATTCAGTTAAAGCAAGAGACCATGTAAAAGAAATATATAAAAAAAAAAAAAACTCACCTGGCAATAAGTAATATTCCGAAGGTTCTGAAAATGATCAACTGCATGAATATCTACGTTTCCCTATCTTTTCAACCTCATAAGACATGATTTACATTATCTTATACTAGTGAAAAGGCTAATCTATTAGGGTATGAATGATGAATCCCATTTTTTATTTATTTTTATTCCTGTGCTGAGTTAATGACTTGAAGATGTGAAACTTTGATATTGATTGGTGAAAATAACGTAGCTAATCTCTTTTTGTGAGAGCTTGGCCATCCTCAATGGCAACATCTCTTTATGTTGTTGAAAGAGGTTCCTTAACAGTGCTTTAGATAGTCAAAGTGAATATGGATTAGCTCAAGGTGAATGACAACAGTGGTTTTGGTATTAGGGAACATGCATTAGCTCAAGGTGCTTCAGCGAATCAGCGTGTGGGGATATTAAAGAGTTAGGAGGCCACCTCGCAAATTCAGGACAATCAATGTAAAAAGCATCGTGCTGTGCAGATGAGAAACACTTGTAAACTCCGAAGAGGAAAAGTATATTACATATTGTTACGAAATTGAGAAGAAAAAACCAAAATTAAGGAGAATGCAGGTAAGGTCACGGGGCTGCTGACCTTTGTATCATTGTTACACAAAATATATTGCTTCAAAGCTTAAATATGATACTTGATCATACCAGTCCTCTCTTTACAAAAGGCACCAAAGTGATCTTACACAGTTACAGCAAGAAAGATAAATAAACTAAAGAAATGGAAATCAAAAGCCAATAAATAATACTCTTTACATATCCCTTAGAAAATAAGCATAAAAATATACACTAGCATACACACAAAAAGAAGACGCGGTTGAAGCATTGTGACACATTCATCCATCAGAGAGTAGCAGAAAGAACCTTGTGAAAAGAAGTGAGCGAAGAGTAAGGGACATCAAGCACACGAGCACGCCACTCCACATTCCCCCAAATTTCACAAGTATTGGGCCTTTCAAGCGCAATCTGCACACACCAAAGCATCTCCCTATCGAAGCAAATCTGGTGCCACAAAACAGCTAGCTTTCCACCATAATCAGCCATTCCAGCAAAAGTACCCCGAGGTAACTTGGGTAGTCCAACCAAACCCTTGACATGGTTCCACGTTCTTGCCTCAGGGTCATACCATCTCAACACTCGGTCATAAGAACACGAGTACAAAACATCATCTACCTTGCAAAAACAACGTGAACGCATATATACGGGCATGGAGTCTCCGACCTCCTCCCAGCTTCCTTGCGTAGGATTGTAATCAACCACATTTGACCCAATCACCAGGCTGACCTTTCCGCCAACACATGTGCTTAGGGAGACATCTCTGCCGTTTCCCAAGCTGCGTGGGACAGGCACCACATCACATACATGTGTTTTTGTGTCCAAAACCGCGAGGGAGTTCTTCTTGGAATCCGAGCCATCTTCTTCTTCTTCTTCGCATAATCCTGCTACGTAAATCTTTTGATCAAGGAGGGTAGCGGAAACTCTAAATAGCTCAACGGGCAAGCTTGGACCCTGGCGCCACGTGTGAGACGTGCAATCAAGAATCGAGACACTAGAGGAGCTCCTACTGTGGGGTTCGAGTGCGCTAACGTTATAGATATCAGAACCAACCGCCACAAGACTCATAGACGCAACCCAAGGAGAATGGGGAATTGGGACTCTAGCCAAAACATAATCACCTGACTTGACGTCTTCCTTATTGCTGCTGCTACTGGTTCCATCAGGTTTCCGGCAGAGGGTGAACCAGCTAGGGCCGTTTTTATAATAATCACATACATCTACGCACACATAGAGACGACTCTCCCTGCGGCCCAAGAGTGACCTGGCCTTGTAAAGGCTCGGTGAAGCCACGAGAGTTCGAAAGCTCTTGGAGACGAGTGAGAGAATCGGATAGAATAATATTGGGACGCGTGCGATGATCGACAATACAAGATCCTCGGGAAGTGAAGTTAGGGTCCATTTCGAAGTCGTTGTCTTCATCTTCTTGTTCGATGACGTTGTAGTCGTTGTCTTCATTGTTGGAATCAAACCTTAGATTAATACTCAAACTTGAAAGAGAGAATGAATCAGAAGAGTAGAGAAGAAGAAGCGACAAGAATGAGGGAGAAGACTTTTGTTGAGACCTTTAGGGTTAAGGGCCATTGGGCCATTTTGATGATCAAGCCCATTTAGTATTGGGTTTAGTGTTGTTGCAAACTATAGGTTAAAAGTTAACCTAAGTATAAATATGGTATAAGGTGTATAATGATAAATCTACGGAAAAGTTGAAAGTAAAAAGGGTTAGAAGCTGCAGCAACATGAATGTGAATCTCGATTTGTTTTACTTGCTCTTTAGGAATTGGCCGCGGAAAAAAAAATTTGAATCCTAAAAAAGTGTTTTATTTAATCATAATTTATTAAGAAAAATATTGTTATGAACTTTTCTTGGGAGTTTAGGGTTGGAGATGCTCTGACGCACCAACAAGTGCGTTTACTTAATGAAACAAGCTACTGAGATCAAAAGTTGAGGCTGGTCTCTCACGAAATCAATGCATGCAAAGTTGCACTACTTGAGTATTTGTCCATGATCAAATTTCCTAAATCCCTATATATATGTTACGTATACAGAAAAACAAAAATATAGTAGCAATATATTATCGATCGATCACAAAAGTTTTGCACTGGGAAGAGACAAGGAAGAAGGTCTCTGCGGCATTCTAAGGGATTCCATACTATGAAACTATCACTGATCAAATCCCCCACGAGATTACTGAATCCGTCGAAGGATCATATATCTACCATCGCATATGCTTTGCTCATGAAATCAAACCACACGTTCTTTTTAACTATAGGAGGAGGAGGAGGAGGAGGAGGAGGAGCTCCATGATTATAATTTTCATGATCCATATGACTTCAAATCTACAAAATCCCTTAAATGAAAAAAAAAAAAAGAAGAAGAAGAAGAAGGGGATCACTAGACCTTGTTGAAACAAGGCTTTTAATTATTATACACACAAGTGAAACTAACCCTAACGTGAGCATACCGTTTAGAACTACCAAAATTCTCTTTAATTTAACCTTTTACCAAAAAAAAAAAAAAATTCTCTTTAATTAGTTAGATATATATATATCCCATTATTTTAATATTTTAGTTCTTTGTCCCCAAAATTAGTACTGTATGGAAAGGAACAACTCGGCCCAATTTTTCAACTTATCATTCATGGGTGAGATTATGACATTACTCTATAATATCTAAAATATATATGCATTTTTAATTTTTATATTTATATCGATGCTAATGATTTCATTTAATTATTATTATTTCAAGTTTAAACAAAAATATTTGAACTCGAGATGATGTAGATAAATGATCGTTGTATTGATCATAATAAGGACGTACGTGTTGTTACACCCAGCTAGTATTGTTAGTACATGCTCCAAATTCGATCGGGGTGATCGTTACAACACAATGAAAGCTCTTTTGTTGAAAGACCAAACTCAATCTTGGTTCACCACTTTTGTGGCTCAATATCTGCAAAGTAACATACGCACGTCACATATTCAAGATTTTGATTTTACAAGTATAGTAATCATATAAAAGAACCCCTTTAGTACAGTTTTGATCTAATGAGACGAGACTGACCCGCAAGTAAAATGGAGAGAGCAAGGAGAGTGAAGAAAATGATTCTTGACTAGGTACCATTCCTCTCTTTCTAATTTCAACTCGTAACTCGTAAGTGTTAAGAATGACTTTAGTTATGACAATTGTAGATTGGGTTACATATATAAAGATATAAGGTACCTTTCAATTGTTTGCAAATAAAGTCATTTGTTTTTTGTTAAACTGTTTCCTAATAAAGTTAAGCACTGAATACCATATTGAACGCAAATACTCAATAATATTTTTAGTATCAATCAACAAGAAAATGATATGTTACCCGAAATGACACTGCGTTGAGAATTATGATGGTATTATTGATTTGTGGAAACACAAGTTGATTACTACATGATAACAAGAATCGAGTCAATTACTAAAACAGTGAACAGGATACTCAATTGGATCCGATCGGGGTCAATGGTCGTAACAAAAAATCTTAAACATCTATACTTTTTAACAAATAATAACAAGACTAGTCAAAGAAATTTGGAGCAAATAATTGTTTTCAAATTATCAAAAAAAGAAAAGAATGACAAATGAAGAAAAATTAGTACATAAGAAAATCTAATTAACAACAATGTAATTGTAATCTTTCTTTCATCAATAAAAACATAACGGGGGTCCGTATCGTCGCTATCACCAAGGACGTAGCCGTGATGCATTATAAAACGTATTTGTCCTATTTTGATGATACTGTATATGATGGACTAGTCTCCAAAAATAAAATCTTTAAAAGATAACTATAGTTACAGTCTCTTCTTTATATGTTTATCATCTTGGTCAGGAAAAAAATAATAATTACGAGATGGGGCAATTATTCTTTTATTCCTTTGCAGATAGGAGAGTAGAAGAGCCTGAAACTGGTGAATGCTTCAATGCCAAGTCTTGACAATACAAGAGACACACAAAAAAATAATGTAAATAAATTTAGAACCCTTCTCTATCCTTATTTTGATGGCTATACTACTATTGTTGTTATATAGAAGAAGAAGAAAAAAGAAACTAAAAAAAAATTGAATTAAAATGAAGAACAAGTTGTTGGAGGATGACACAAACCATACCTCAAGGTAGGTGATATATCCAAATGACCATATGGAGAGATTTTTGTAGCTGTTCTTTTGAAAGGTGAGGACCACATCTTCCTCAAAACTTCACAAAATCTCTAACTTTGAGATAACACATACCAAAAGAATCCATCAAACTTTACCTTCTTCATGATTATTTATTTATACATCTTTCAAGATTAGGACCAGAGAGACCGGGACCAGTACCAATCATACTGTTATGTTGGACGAGACACTCGGGGGGTTCGGGGGGTTCGTTTTTACATGATCACTAGGGAATAGGGATGATGTAAATCATGTAAACAATGGTAACCACTGCAAAAGCCACTAGATTCCATGATCTAAGAACTCAATGTTATGACGGTATTGAGACAGCTACTACAAACTAAAAAGATGGGAAGATTCTTGTGGTTCTTGCGTCGGTCACGTTACACGGAAAGAAGAGAAAAAGAGAGAGAGAAAGAGAGAGCCTTAAGTCTTTGTCATCAATGAAGTTTGGTTTTTTTTTTTTTTTTTTTTGATAAAAATTTGGTCCCCCACTTTGGTATAAATTCCAGAACGTACCCAGAGATAACAGAACGTCAGAACCAATAAAAGAAAAAGTTAATTAGGCTAAAAGTGGTCACAGGATTCTTCAGGCGGGTTTGGTTCTTTTTTTTTCAAACTGCAACTGGCTCTTACCCGTTAAGTTCATCTCCCTATTAAACACAACGACCTAACAATATTACAGCAGACTCAGTAAGCTCTAGATACATCATCCCTTCATTCTATACATCTCTTCATTTTTATACATCTCTTCATAGTCGGCCTCTAGCCTAAGAAACCCGGTTTTATCAAAGACGCACCAAACCTTTTCCAAAATCCTGTATCGTTCGGAATGATGAAATGGGGAAGGAAAAAACCTGTTTCTTCTTCTTCCGGTTTGTCTCGTGCTCTTCCTGGTTCTTGGTTTTCAAAGTTAAGCGGTTCTTCTGACTTGAAACCTGCAAAAGAAAAGAAGCAAGATGATGAAGCTAGCCATACCATGTCTACAAAATCTTCCTTGAATTCTACAAAATCTTCCTTGAGTTCTACTAAAGCTAGCCATACCATGTCTACAAAATCTTCCTTGAGTTCTACTACACATCGAAATGATATTAGTGAGAGCAGAAAAAACTTTCAGAGAATACAAGTAGAAAAGCAGAACGCTGCAGCAAGATCAGCAGATAGGGAGTCAAATGAGAAGTTTGAAGAGATAATGAGCAGTGTAAGGAAGAAAGTAAGAGACTTCCAAAGAGAGACGTGTGGCTTTCTGGAAGTAGAGGCAATGGATAGAGACAAAGGAAATGTGATTATGACGCCAAGAATTCAGGTGAACAGAGATAAGCAGAGATGTGAGAGACGTGATCAAAGGCTTCTCGAACAAAAGCCAAAGAGATCAGAACAAGATGTAGAGGTGAAGGCAAAAAAAACATCGAGAAGGACAGGTACAGGAAGTTACGGTAAAGAGGATTCTGTGATTCTTGGTCATACCGTAACAAAATCAACTAATCAGTGGGAAAAACTCAAGGAAGTAAAACTAAGAGAAGTGAAGCTGAAGGCCGACCAACAGAGAAAGTCGATGTACCTCAAAAGGGAGCTAAACAGATTAGGAACAAAAGAAAACAACAAGGTTAGAGTATTTTCACCACGAGCATCTGAAAAATGCAGAGTTAAAGCTATTGAAGACTTGAAGAAGGCTAAACTGAGAGCACGAGAGCAAGAGCTTCTGATAGAAACAACAGATGGAGGAACGGAGAACGAAAGCTTTGCAGTAGTGAAATGCTCGAGCGATCCTCAAAAAGATTTTAGAGATTCGATGATCGAGATGATCATGGAGAATGGTATCAACCACCCTGAAGAACTCAAAGAGCTTCTGGTTTGTTATCTCAGACTCAATACCAATGAATATCATGATATGATCATCAGTGTGTTTCAGCAGGTGCATAATGATATGAATTTTTAATTTTGGTGTAGAATAGTGCTATAAAGATGTGTGCATGATTCATCATTATGATCTGTTAATAGGTTAAGCTTTCTAGGATGCAACTCCCCTAACTTCATGCTTCTTGGTTACCATTAAAACTGATAGTAATTCTATTTAATTGACAGCATAAGACCAACATATTTTTTGGAAAATTACCAAGTTTAGTCGACTCTTAGTCCTTCACCAGCTAAGAACTCATGGACGACCCCATCAACTTCAATCATGCTACATCCAGGCTTCTTGTTTACTCTTTCTGCTCTCATTTTTCTTCTCACCTCCATAACCTCATCCCATCTTCCATTAGATGCATACAAGTTTGACATCTGAACGTAACCTGAACTCTCATGTGGATTCAATTCCAGTAATCGATTTGCTATACGCTCTGCTTGTTCCAATTTTCCAAACCTTTTACAGGAACCAAGAAGAGATTCTAGTAACATCGAAGCCTCATCTGCTGGAATCTCATTCACAAGTTCTTCTGCTTCCTCAATTTTACCCATCCGACCAAGCAAGTCCACCATACAACCATAGTGTTCAACAGTTGGCTCAATCCCATAAACACTATTCATCATTTCAAAAAGTCTGCGAGCTTGGTCCAACAAACCCACATGATTGCAGGCCGACAGAACACCAATAAATGTGATACCATTTGGTTTGAAACCTTCATACACCATCTCCGAAAAAATCTCTAAAGCATCCTTTCCAAGACCATGGACGCTTAAACCTGAGATTATAGAATTCCATGTACTGACATCTCTCTTTGAAGTAGCTCTAAACACTTCAAGAGCCTTATCAATTTTCCCGCACTTCGAATACATATCCACAAGAGCTGTAGCCAAAAACCCTTCAATCTCAATCCCATGCTTGTCTATGTAAACATGTACCCACTCACCTTGACTCAAGGATCCAAGACTAGCACACGCAGATAAAACATTAACAAGAGTAAAACCATCTGGTTTCTCAGTAGAATCATCCAGCATTTCATTGAAAACCTCTAAAACCTCGTTGTAGCAACCCACATGTGCATAAGCAGTCACCATAGCGTTCCAAGAAACCACATCTTTCACCGGCATAGAATCAAAAATCTCCTTGGCTTCCTTAACCAATCCCGCAGCCGCATAACCCGAAATCATAAAATTCCAAGACTCCACATTCCGTTCCTCCATCTCATCAAACAACGCACGAGCTTCTTCCACCAAACCCTTCTCAAGATAAGCACTCAAAAGCGAATTCCAAGAAACAGCATCTCTCACAGGCATTTTATCGAGCACTTTACGCGCAATCTCAAAGTAACCGCTTCTTCCGTAAACATTAACCAAAGTGTTCTCAACAAACACATCAGTCATCAAACCACTCTTCATAAAAAGACCGTGAATTTGCCTTCCTTCTTCAAACCCAGAAAAAGCAGCACAAGCTTTCAACACGAACGTGAAGCTGTACTTATCGGGGAAAACAGGGCCAAGAAGCATATCACGAAACACGACCAACGCCATCTCAGGGGTAGAGCTATTAGCGTAAGCTCTGATGACGGAATTGTGAGTGAACCCATTAGGGCTCTCGATCCGATTGAGAATGGAGTGAGCGTAAGAGACAGTTTTGGGTTCTGGGTTCGTTACAGCAAAGGCAATAAGCTTGCTCGCAGAATAAGTGTCCTGAGAAAGACCTGTTTTGAGCATAAAGGCATGAGCTTGTTGAATCTCCGACAGAGATTTAGCTCTCTCTGTGAATGACAGAATCGGTACTACTGGAGTTGATAATGAACAAACAACACTCATCGTAAGATGACTGTAAATGTTGCATTACATCGATATTACTATATTATACGATTTAATAAGAGTTGAGCCTATATTAATATTTTTGATGGAATTAAGATAATATCATAAAGGTGAACAAAATCATAATTGAGATTACTAAGTTATTGTAAAAATAATAATATGTTAAATAATAATTAGTACTGTACGTTATTGTTGTTGTCGTCGTAGTCGTCTACTAAAAAAGACTAATTTCATCGTCTACCTTCGAATATGCTTTGTCTTTTCATTATTCTTTTACCTTAAGTAGGCGTCCACTAATTGCATTTTTCACTTAATTTTTTCTTCCAATTTTTACCATTATCAAATTGCATCCCTAACTATTCTCATTTTAAAAAAAAATCAATGCACATAATTTCTAGTATAGCCATTTTCAACGGCCACAAATGATGCAAAACTAAAGAGGGACTTGACGTGTAACACACTAATGCTTATTAAAGGTTCGGATGACTATAATTCTCCGATCATCTTATACAATAATGTTTTTACTTTTTTACTGCAACCATATAGAAATTAGAAAATCAATTCGATCGACGTACATTAATCTTAAATCCGAAACAAAAACATATCAATTGATCTATCGATGTTTTTTTTTGAATAAGAAAAAAAAAAAATTGTTATGAGATTGTAAAAATAAATTTAATTGTTGTGAGATCTATTGATGTTTTAAATAGTGATGAGATTGTGAAATAAAATTAATTGTTGTATAAGAATTAATTATCATCGCATTTGTATTAAGATATAGAGGTTTAATAATTATTATACACATGTGTGGTTTAAATTTTTAAAAATAGACGTGTTACGTGTAGATGTGCATGTCATGTATACAAAAGTGTTAAATTAAAGAAGACCTAATGCAACACGTAAAACACACTTACGCTTAACCAAGTCAGCAAACATATAAGCTTAACACTATAAGCCGAAACAAAACTTAAAGAACAAGTCTAGTAACCAAGATATGTATAAGCTAATTATCTCCTATATAAACAGAGGTGATTAATTACGCTTAGTTACAGAATCACAAACGAAATTTCGTCTAATCACACAAAAAAAAAAAAAAGATCGAGAAGAGAGAATAATTAAGAACCGAGAGCTAGCAATGGAGAGCAAGAGAAAGCAACTGTCGGAGAACTTGCTTGATCTGACTAAAGCCGTCAATGTGCGCGTCAGCAACGACACGACCACGGAGGCTGAGTTAGAAGCAATTGCCGAGAAGCTTCTCCAAAGCTGCATTGATGTCATGGCGATCACGGCGAGACCGGTGGAGGAAGAGCAAGGACCATCAGAGAAACCATCGGAAACAGAAAGATCACCATGATCAACGACGTCCACGTACGGTGGTATCCAAATTATATTAAAAAAAATTATATATATCGAATTAAATTTAAAAGTAACTAGGGTTGTTTCTGTTAAGACAACCTAGCTAATTAATGATGGTATAGACAAATAAGATGCTCCTTTAATTTCTAAATAACCATGGTTCTGATACTGTGGACAAACAATTATTATATAAGATATGCTCTTTTTGCCTCTCTGAATTATAACGATATGGATAATATATGGACATTTTTTTTTCTTAACAGATTCTTATGTTTTTTAAAAAGTGTTGCGTAGAGAACTAGATGATGATGGTATAGTACTATTATAAAGGACAAACAGAATCAACCTGCGGATAGAGAAAAATTTCTTAATTTTAAAGAAAACAACACCAAAAAAATATAAAACTTACTAGATTAATAATGAGGAACAAAAGATAAGAAAGATATATCATTTATTTACTCAAATTTATATATCATCTATAAATTAACAAAAAAAAACAATTCCGTACAAACGATTGTCAATGTTGAGTCTCTGTGCATGTAAACCAAAGTCTATTACAAATACGATTTTATTCCCATATATATATATATCTGTTTAAGAAAGCATGTAGTAGTATTAATATTTTTTATTAATCGACCAATGATTACGAAGTAATTAACTTATCAATCCTCGTCGCTGTCAGAGTCTGGTTGAGGCGCGTCGTCTCCGATAACCATTTCTTCTGGAGCCTGAGCCACTGTATGCAGCAACTCGTTTGCGTCCAGATCGTTCATAGTATTCTCTAACAGAACTAGGATTTGTTGCAGCATGTTCACGTCTTCTATCTCGATTAAGGTTACAAGAGTTGACTTAGATAAACGAAATCATTAATCTTTTAGTTATAATAAACTAAAAGATTAAGTGAGAAAAAAAAAAAAGATTAAGTGATCAGAAAAGACACGCCGCAATTGGAGCTATGTGTACCTCGTTTGTGAGTGTCTGAACGTGCTCAACAACATTTTGGTGAAACCTCAGTAACACATCGGTTATATTGTTTTTAACCTCCACAACTGCGTTCGCCATTGTATAGATTACAATAGTAAAGTTTAGTAAACTATATTTTTAAGTTAAACTTTGGATCTATAACTTGTAGAATATTTGGTAAACTAATATTTATTATATGTAGTGATTATTGGATTGTTCACCTATAAATATTTCTTTACTTCAAATATAAAAAGTCTTATCAAATTTTAATATATTTTAAGAAAATTCAAAATATATACTCTAAGTTTAATATACCTTTCATTATTAAAAATTCAAGTATATATAAGATATAATAATAAATAAAGTTAATCAACAAATAAAGTTATTTATCTAGAAATTTTGCATAGATTACAATTATAATTTTTTTAATCTTTCTTTAAGTTAAACTTTGGATTTATAACATGTAAGATATTTTTAAAACTAGTATTTATTATATGTAGTGGTTATTATATTTTTTATTTAAATATAAAAATCTTACCATAATTTAAATTTATTTTAAAAAATTCCAAAATATATACTCTAAATTTAATATTTTTCCATTATCAAAATTTCAATGATATATAAGATATAATAATAAATAAACTTTAAACTTAATATGCAAATAAAGTTATTTATCTATATATTTTGTATAGATTACAATAATAAATTTTTGTAAACTTTCTATAAGTTAAAATTTGAATGTATAACATGTAAAATACTTTTTAAACTAATATTTATTATATGTTGTGATTATTGGATTGTTTACCTATATATGTCTTTATTTTAAATATGAAAAAATCTTATCAAAATTTTAAAATAATTTAGAAAATTATCTTTAAATATCAAATTTCTTTTTAAAATTTCAGTGATATACAAGATATAATACTAATGGGGATTTTTTATAAAATAAAATCACTATATTTGGGTAACAAATTCAATTTTGGACCTATATTACTTTTCTACATTTATGAATTATGAGGGTATATAGAGACCTGTAACTTCACAAGATTTGCGACATTGTTTGAAACAAAAAACAAGTTAAAAGGTGCATTAACCGAAATTTTATTTTCTTTTGATTTTGAAGCTTGATTAAGATAAATTAGTAAATAATCTCAAATTCGTTTTTTGGGTGTGTAGCAATTATATATTAAAAGTGCTAAAGATGAATGCAAACGAAGGTTCATCAACCTCAATCTCATCTTTCATCACCACGACATATGATATGGTCGATGATAGTTCATCTGATTTAATAATTTCTTGGAGTGAGAGTGGCAAGAGTTTCATCATTTGGAATCCGGATGAGTTTTACAACAATCTCTTTCAAAGATTTTGCTTCACGGACAACAATTTAATTTCCTTTTTCTCTTCTCTTAATAAACATGTAAGTTGCTTATATGTTTTTTTTTTGTAAAATGTTGTTTCCTTTTAACTGAAAATCTTCTTTTTTTTGTAGGGTTTTGAGAAAGTCGACTCTGAAAAATGGGAATTCGCAAATGATAATTTTGTGCGAGGGCAGCCTCACCTGATAAAGAACATTATAAACTATATAATAGAACAGAATGTTCTTGTGCAGCAAAGAAGCGATATGTTAAATATGGAAAAAATATTTAAGCAGCAAGTAAAAGGAGTAAAGTATCAGTTGCCACCATATAAGCGTAATCCAAGCTCAAAACTTCCTTTCCCCACCAAAATCTATGAGATGGTGGATGATCCTTCATCGGATGGTATTATCTCATGGAGCGAGAGTGGCAAGAGTTTCATCATTTGGAATCCGCAAGAATTTTACAAAGATCTTCTTCGTAGATTCACCATTCCCCTCCCTATATTTATATTCTTCTGTAAACTTGAGAGCTTTGTAAGTTTTTCATATGATGGTTTTGTTGTATGTCCTCATCTTCTTTTTGCTAGTTTATTTTGTTTTAAAAGTTTGAATCATCCTTTTCTTTTTTTTAACAGGGTTTTAGAAAGATCAATCCAGACATGTGGGAATTTGCAAATGATAATTTTGTTCAAAACCAACCTCAGCTTATAGAAAATATTATAAGGAAACATGTAGAGAAGATGGATCAGCAAGGTAAAGATTATGCCAGGAAGAAGAATGTGCGGGAAGCAGGAGATTTGTTTAAGTTGCAAGTCGAAGAAATGGTAGATATGAGAAAGAAAATGAGGAAGCTGCCCAAGGAAGTTAAGGGACAAGAGGTTGGACTTTGCAAATTATGATTATGAGGGCCATCTGATTTAATGAATAATATCCATAATGTCTAGCTTATCATTACCCATAAAGTTCTAGTTTAATTATCAGTATTTTTATGAGATTATATATGTTATAATTATTTTCTTTCTGTTGCTTTAGATCTCTTTCTGGTTTTTGTTTCTATCCTTTTTTTAATAAGAACTAATTAATTTGCCCCAAACTCATAAATCTCGTGTACCTATTTCAATTTATATTCTTTTTAAATTTAAATAAATAAACAAAAATAATTGGTTGGTCAAATTACAATGTTTTCCCATTAACTTTTCTCCAATAAATTACAGATATATCTTTAAGATATTTTACAAAAGATCACACTATTTTCGTTGTTACAATATTGCGCCAACCATCTTTGCAAGTTCTTATACCTGGATATAAATTTACCCTCTAAATGGAAAAACTCTAGCTATTTTTGATCACTAGCTATTTCTCTTGACTTATACTAACTATTTAACCAATTTATAAGAAAATAATTATAATAATTGAGATTACTGTCAAGAGAGCTGTCTTCATCAAATTTGACTTCTGTTACACTTAAGAAAATCAAATAAAACAAAGAAATGGCTAGTGAGTGACTTATTCCATGCATGTTCCACAGGAAACAGATCTCACTTTAACAAATATTGTAATGTAATCGTGGACTATATAACTTTGTTCCGTACCAAAATAAATTAACAAATAAATAATTCCGAACAAAAGATTGTCAACATTGAGTCTCTCTGCATGTAAATATGTTGTTTTGTTAATTATAATATGATTTTATATTATTTATGAATATGTATACCAAATAACATAATCCATTTTCATAAAATTATTAGGAAAAAGAAATACAAAATGGGTTACTATTACATGTCACCTTTTAAAAATATCAGGAAAACCATATTATCATGGAATATTTGTTCTTAAAACATTTAAAGGATTCATTATTAATATTTTGGGTAAGAAAGTTAAACTAGAAGGAATTGAAAATTTCTAGTAAAAAGAGTAATAAAAATGGTAAAAGTAAAATTGCATGTGACGACATTTGCTCTTTTTTTTTTTCTTTGAATCAAAGTCTTGTTTTTTTATATATATTTAATTTTTACCAATGTCTATTACAAGCATATGACATTTCAAACGAAAGTTTATTACAAATACAATTTTATTCACATATATATTAATATTGTTTAAGAAAGCAAGTAGTAGTATTAATATTTTTTATCAATCGACCAATGATCACGAAGTAACTTATCAATCCTCGTCGCTGTTAGACTCAGCTTAAGAGGCGTCGTCGGCGATTACCATTTCTTCTGGAGCCACTGGATGCAGCAACTCGTTTGCGTCCAGATCGTTGATGATACCATCTACCAAATTTATGATTTGTTGCAGCCGATGCAAATCCTCCGTCTCATTTAAGCCATTAACAAGAACTAACTAAACTAACGAAAATATTGATTAAAAAAGAAGCGAAAAGAAAAGAAAAAAGTAATAAATCAAACGATTAAGTACTCAATAAGATTAATGTGCATTTGAAGCTTACCAGATGTAGGCGGTTTGCAAGGAACGCAAGAAGAGCTGTGAACCTAGTCAACACATTGATTATTTTGTTTCTAACTAGGTTCGCCACTGGAACAACCGGGTCCTTAACTGGGTTAGTCAATATTATTCGACCATTCATAAAATTTTGTAGCAACTCGTTATCTTCCAGACCGTGCATGGTATTTTGTAGCAGAACTAGGATTTGTTGCAGCATGTCCACGACTTCCATCTCAATTAGGGTTACAAGAGTTGAGTTATATAAACCAAATCATTAATTTTTTAGGAAGTATATATAATAAGCTAAAAGATTAGTGAGAAAAGACACGCCCGCATTTGGAGCTTATATACCTCTTGTGTGAGTGTCAGAACGTGCACAACAACATTTTGGTTGGCCCTCTGTAACACAGAGTTAATATTGTCGATTGTATTCGCCATTGTAGCTTTTTCAAATGCTTTGAAAACAATTACCAGTAAAAAAGAAAGAAGAAGAAGAAATTATAAGTAAAAGCTTTGTTTTGCAAATGAAGTTTAGGTGAAGATGATGTTAACTAAGATCGGATTATATAGCCGAAACATGATCATTTTAGGTTGGTCTTTAACAATTACAAGAAAGAAGTTGTATGATTATCATTTCGGGTAATTTGTTTGAAATTTGGTCGTATGTGTGGTTACAATGACTGTGTAAAGCAGTATTATATTATTTCAGCTTAAACCGTATGTTGAGTTGTAACCACCACCACATTGCATTAAGAGTTACTATTTTTAGTATTGTGTACAATTATAATTAAATAAGACATCCAACATACAGAACTAAAAGACTTAATGTATCGATTCATTTCAAATAAAATTACTATGTATATGATCTAGGTCTTAGGAGGCTGTCCAAAACTTAATTAGCACACGCTTTTATCGCATTCACCTATATATATATATATATATATATATTTGCTCTCGCATTCAAAAAGTAGATTAAAGGAAAGTTTATTGACTTTTTTTTTTTTAAAACGTCTTATGGGAAATAATCTTAAAACTCATGTTTGACATTAAAATTTTGTGTGTTTAGATGCATAATTTGATGGTGTTTCTTGTCCAAACACTACTTAGCACGTACACTTCCACTAATTTCTCGTGGGTGTGAAAAATGTCATCCAATTACCTTAAGGTGCCATGGAGATCTCACTGCAGCGTAGACTCATAAATTATCAAATAGACCAAATGGGGTAATCCGTAGTCTTCTAGTCTTCATGTATTTTGGGAATTGCCAAATGGTTTTCAAAGTCGACAAATTTTGGAATATATTTCTAAAAATATATAAAGGGTGCTTGCAAGTTGCAACTGGTGAATTAATGGTTAGAAAATAAAAAGATGAATTAAGCGGACCTTAAGTAGGAAGAAAAGAAAATTCAAAATTAGAGTAATTAAAGAACAATATTGGTGATCCTCACAGCCACATAGACTCATCATTTATCAAATAGCATATATATGAGAAATAAACATATATTACCAAATGGAGTAATTGGACGATATTTTTTTTCTTGTGGGATATGTCACCTTTAAGTATTTCAAGAATGTCATATTTTTTAAAGTCGATAAGTTTTTTTAATCTTTTTCATAAAACATAAAGTTTCCAAGTGCTTAGTGTTTAAGGTTGAATGAAGAGGAACTGAAAAAATCATCAATTAGAGCTGTATTCCTATTTTCTTCCTATGTGGAAAATATTCCAAATGTTTTCAACCTTACTATAAAAGAAAGCAAATAAATAAACAAAAAGGTCAAATAACAATGTTTTCCCCATTTATTTTTCTTAAGTAAATTAAAGATGGCTTTGAGATATTTTACAAAAGATCACACTATTTTCGTTATTACAATATTGCGCCAACCATCTTTGCAAGTTCTTGTACTTGGATGGATATAAATTTACCTTATAAATGGAAAAACTCTCTTGACTTATACTAACTATTTAATCAATTTATAAGAAAATAATAATAATAATTTTGAGTTACTGTCAAGAGAGCTGTCTTCATCAAAATTGACTTCTGTGACACTTAAACAAGAAAATCAAATAAAACAAAGAAATAGCTAGTGAGTGGCTCGTTCATATGCATATTGTAATATAATCGTCAACTATATAACTTTCTTCCGGATCAAACCGATTAACAAAACAATAATTCCGTACACAAGACTGTCAATATTGAGTCTCTCTGCATGTAAATATGTTGTTGTTGTTTTTTGTTATAATATATGATTGTATATTATTTATGTATATATATATATATATGCCAAATAACATAATCCTTATTAGAAAAAAAGAAAAGAAAATACCAAATGGGTTACTAGCTATTCCGTGTCACCATTTAAAGATATCAGGTAAACCATATATATTATCAAAGTGGGAGTTGGAATAATTTTTCTTAAAACATTTAAGGATGCAATTGTTAAATATTTTGGGTAAGAAAGGTAAATTAGAAGTAATTAACATTCCTAATAATAAGAGTGATAAAATTGGTAAAGGCTATGTAAAATTGCATGTGACAACATTTGCTCCCTTTTTTTTTTCTTTGAACCAAAGTCTTATATATATATATATATTTTATTATTATTTTTTTTAACAATGTCTATTACTCTGTGTACAAGTATATGATATTTCAAACCAAAGTCTATTACAACTACGATTTTATTCCATCTATATATACTGTTTAAGAAAGCAAGTAGTAGCATTAATATTAATTATTAATCATATCAACCAATGATTACGAAGTAACTTATCAATTCTAGTCGCTGTTGGACTCTGCTTGAGGCGCGTCGTTGCCTATTACCATTTCTTCTGGAGCCTGAGGTGGGTCGTCGGCGATTACCATATCTTCTAGAGCCTGAACCACTGGACCAGCCAGCATTGGATGCAGCAACTCGTTTGCGTCGAGATCGTTGATGATACCTTCTAGCAAATTTAGGATTTGTTGCAGCCGATTCAAATCGTCCATCTCATTTAAGTAATCAACAAAGAACTAAGTTAGATATTTAAGAATCAACTTTAACTTAATTTCTTAAGTATTCTAGATCAAATTAACAAAAGTATATATTGATTAAAAAAAAGCCAAAAGAAAAGAAAAAAAGTAATAAACCAAACGATTTAAGTAGTCAATAAGATTAATGTGCATTTGAAGCTTACCTCATGTAGGCGGGTTGCAAGGTACACAAGAAGAGTTGTGAACCTAGTTAACACATTGAATATATTGTTTCTAACAAGGTTAACCACTGGAATAACCGGGTTAGCAGCCGGTTCATTAACTGGGTTAGGCAGTACTACTGGACCATCCAGATGCAGCAACTCGTTAGCGTCCAGACCGTTCATGGTATTTTGTAGCAGAACTAGGATTTGTTGCAGCATGTCCACGTCTTCCATCTCAATTAGGGTTACAAGAGAACATTAATCTTTTAGGAAGCATATAATAAGCTAAAAGATTATTAAGTGAGAAAAGACACGCCGCATTTGCAGCTTTTATATGTACCTCGTTGATGAGTGTCCGAACGTGCACAACAACATTTTGGTGGCACCTCTGTAACACAGCGATGATATTGTCGATTGGGTCAGCCATTGTAGCTTTTTCAAATGCTTTGCAAATACAACAAGTGAAAAAAAAACAAAGAAGAAGAAATAAAGTAAAAGCTAATTGTTTTGCAAATGAAATTAAGGTGAGGAGATTATGTTAACTAAGATCGGATTATATAGCCGAAACATGATCATTTTAGGTTGGTCTTTAACAATTACAAGAAAGAAGTTGTATGATTATCATTTCGGGTAATTTGTTTGAAATTTGATCGTATGTGTGCTTAAAATGACTGTGTAAAGCAATATTATTTCTTCTTAAATCGTATGTTGAGTTGTAACCACCACCGCATTGCATTAAGAGTTACTGTTTTTAGAATTATGTAAAATTATATCTAACATGCATTATGACGTTATCCTCAATTATGATTGAAAATATGCACTGATTATATGTTAATATTACATTATTCTTTTACTGTAATTTTGGCTAATCGATCGCAAGAAACATAATATATAGAACTAAAATACTTGATGCATCGATTCATCTCATATAAAATTAATATATACTAGGTTCGGACCCGCGCTACAACGCGGAGGAAATAATTACATATATATAATTTTTATCGTATTAGAATATGTTACATTTTAATTTTGTTAAAGTGCAGTAAATATATGATTACGGTAAATCATATATTTGTATAATAAGTTTAAATAAAAAAGGGAAAAAACGAGTAAATAATCATATACTGAGTTTTGATACAATTAAAAACACGGTGAAAATTTAATAGCACGAAATAATATTTGTCGATAAATTATTCATTTTGACCATTTTTGTAGTAAAAGTAGGAATATACGTAAAAATTACATATTTACAATATATTTTTTGAAAGTCCAACCCGTAACAGAATTCATTTCCTAAAAAACATTATTTGTAACTCGTTTTATCATTATAATTGTGATTTTAACAAACTACCCGTGAATTATCTAAAATTTACATAGTATGATATATAATATATATTATCAATAAAAATTATGTCTCCAAAATTACATTTATGTCTTCAAAAAAATATTTTCAATATTTTAAATTCTAATAGTTTTATATATTTGAACTTTTTATTTATAATATTTTGAAACTATTTGAAATATTAAATATGCTCATGTAACAATGGTTTTAATATTGGTCATACTTATAATGATTTTAAACAGTTGTCCAAAATATTTAACCGAGT